CCAGTCTACCAATTGAACCGCTAGTCAGAAAATAAGCACAAGCCTGCATAGCAACTGTGAAAATGCTGCAAACTGAAAACAATTTTACACAGATAAATAAATGCAAAATTGTCTTTCAGAAAGACTATTTGCTGTAATCATTTTGTTGCAGTTACAATCCAGTCCGGGCAAAACAGCGAAACTCAGCATCTCTCCCTTATTCCCTTTCTGCTCAGCTGAAGAAGCTATTTTCTCTTCATCACTCTAGACTTACCTTTGCACTGCTGCTTTAGCCTTTGAAAGAAACACTTTGAGAGCAGGGAGACAAAGCACTTGACTGCTTGGAGTTGTAGTTTCTGGATGCTGAGAGCAGTCAAGGGGGCCTCTTCCCAGTTACATTTCCTCCTTGGACCTCATTTGCAGAGGGCACAAACACATGTGAATAGAAGTACCTGCTCTGACTACTCACCATACAACTCACATAAGGCAGCTCTCTTGCTCAGGATACGAGGCAATGAACAAGAGAAAGATCTCTTTTGGCTGGCATATATTGTTAAAAACTCATGATGTAGACATGTGTTGCTAGTAAAGGCAGTAATAGACATATTACAGCCCTTAAAGAAACAATACTGAAACTCAATTTCCATTAAAAAATAACAGAAGACAAATCAGAAAAGTAATCTCATTAGAAACTGAAATCAAACTGATCTCCTGACTTTTTCCAGGCATCTCAAGCTAAAAAAAGGTGGTGTATTTCTTCCAAGACTCATCATTCTGTTTCATTCCACCTGAGATTTGTTACAGGACTTAACAAGCACAGGACAATAAATGCCAGAGCTGTTCTACTTAGCCAGACATTTTCTCCACATTTTAAACATAAAAATAGTACAACTGCACCTGCAGACAAAGAGAAAAAAAGAGAATAACAAGCCTTTCCTTGTCCTCCTTTGGTCAGGCCACAGGAGCCCTCGAATAGTAAAATATAAATTCTTCTATGCCCAAAAGCAAGCCCCAGAGGCTTCTTCTCACCTGAAGCAGGACCCTGTTTAAATCTCCCAGCTGAACTGATTTACAAGGGCTTTTATTTTTATTACCAAGCAGGGTTGCTTACTCAGCAGTGACCATTTTTAGTGCATTTCAGGTGTGGGTTTTTTCCCCCTGAAGCTGAATTTAACATAATTTGCTGTAAAGTAGAGAAGGAGAAGTTTTTTAGAAAACGTGGAAATTTTCATACAATTTAAAATGGATATAGCATGTTCATTTCATTTACAAAAATGGTTAACTAAGCTGAAAGTGGAAATCTTTATTCTGCATAAAAGAATTGTTCTATATTAGACAACACATTTATTCTTAATTTTTATAAAGACATTTGAACAAGTGCCTTTTTTAAAAGGGGTGGATTCTAAGATCAAAATAGGAATAAGTAAAAGGGAAAGGAATCAGATATTACAGCAAGCTGGGGGGTGAGGACTAGAATCTCATTATGCCAATACCTGGGTGCATTGAAAAATTTAATTAATTTTCATTGCATTTTTTGTGAGTTGAGGGGATGATAGTATCTCTGTTGTACAGAAAGGAACTGAAACACAGACACCTTCATCGTGGCGATCTGGTTTGATTGCTGTAGTACATGATGTTTCAGAGCACACAGCATTGCATAGCACTTGGCATGATTAAAGTTCAGCACTTCCACACAATTTCTCTAAAAAAAAAAAAACAAGTGCAGCATCATCAGTCAGCTCTTTGAAACATGTTCTTAGCATTCTCATTCTAGAGTATGAATCGTGAATTAACAGTTAGTAGTAGAACGTTAAAAAAAATAACAACAATAATAATTTAAGAATCCCCTCATAGTTTCTGTAACACCTGAGATTATTAGCACTTTATAAAATAAATCATTATAAGAACAGACAGAAACCTTTGCAGTTTGCATTGGTGTGTGTATGGGAATTAATGTGGAGTGGTCTATTTTCAGCGTCAGCTACTCTTCATTTCCTGAGACCCATATCTGATGTTAGTGATACAACAGGAGCTAATTAGTGAATAGTCAATAGTGAATAGTCAATAGTCAAGAATACTAGAGACATCCCACCTTTTTCCCCTACTTCTGAAGGTAAATCTCATGGCCATTCCCTGCTAATTGCATTGTATGGATTACTTAAGTGCCAGCGTAAGGTGTATGAAAAAGATAACCGCTAAATTGGGAGATAAGCAGAAAGGATCTGACCTTCTTAGTCAAGGTCATTGATAGGTTAAAGCTATGCATTCTAAACTGCTTGACCACAGGACTGTGTGTCAGGGTAAAACTGCCAGTGGAGAAAAGAAAGGTGTTGGAAAGGTTTGTTGTATGCAAGGCTGCCCTGGGTATCTCTCCTATTAGACAGTCAAAAACAGGGAGGATCCAAGTTTCTTGGTTCTAGACAGGAACCTTTTGCTTTCTGAGGTTGGGGTTGGCCTCATCCTTGCTGCAAAAGAGCCCAGTGTTAGTGTACAAGGTCTGGGGAGCACCACCAAACTCCCAGCGCCTGCAGCATCCCAGAGGATGCACCAGCAGCAGGATCAAACTTCAGGTGCTGGGCTCTTTCTTGGGAGAGGGCCAAAGCTGAGGGGAAGATATCTCACAGGCCACACCAGAAATTCTGGCTAAATCAATTACTTTTCCTTCCATGGAGTCTCATGTTACTGTCCCACCAGCACTACTGAAAACTTCAGGGGGAAAAAAAAAAAGGAAAAGGAGAAATCATCTATTCTCTCCCACTGACCTGTGTTTCTAGAATCAGATTAAATGAGTCCATGTGGGCTGTACAGCAGGGTGCAAAGTTTGGAAGGAATTTCTCTCTTTCCCAACAAACAGCATGCTGAAAGCAAGCTCAGCCCTCATAAAAATCAGTGAATTTGAAAAACCCTTAATCATTATTCAAGAGGTAATCCCTTATGCATGCACAATTGACAGGACAAAATGGAAGTTTCATTGAACTTCAATCTGGCTGCACTTACTTCTTTTTCCCTCCTTAGGCTCCACAAATAAACTTCAACATATCCAGGAGGAACAGTGTTACATCACACAGGTTCCTATGGAATCAAGACAAGGATTTTTGGCATGTAGGAAACACACCTGGCTTCACCAGTGTGACTGAGACATTGAGCAGTGCAACACAAACTGCTTGTATTTAACACATGAACAACCACTGTGGACTGTTCTGTGAGACTGGCAGGAAATTCTGTACCCACCTCACTGGGACAGCTATTCCCCACTGATCAAAAGCAGATGGGGAAAGGCCTGGGCAGCTCTTGGGAAGGCAGCACAGGAAAGGCTTCAGAAGGAATCAGCCCTCTGAGGGTGTGCAGAGGCTCCTGCCAGAGCTGGAAGCAGACTTGTGCCTGTCTGGGGAAACACAGCTGCAAAGAAATAATCCTTTCATATTAAAACTAAATGAAGTTGATTCCAGTGAACCACATCAAGATCCTGAAGTTCTACCACAGCTCAGCTGTCTTTTGGAGCCCTTTTTGTGCTCTTCTGATCAGAGTGTCATCTCTGCTTTTGGTTTTTTGTTCACAGGTTTAATATAACTGTAAGTAAAGCAACAGAGATGTAAATAATTAATCCTTAAAATAATTAAAATCATCATGTTGTAGTGATGTGATTTTTTGTGCCTTTGCATGTATTTCATTATCCTGCTGTATATAGCATAACACAAACACAGAAGTTTAAAAGATGTATAAAATATGCAAACTGATGGACAGGCACGTACAATGGAGAATAACAGAGAATAACAGAGAACATACCTTCCTATTCCAGCATAACTCCTAAATCATCATTTTCTTCTGTTACAGATATTCACACAGAATATTTTTGTTTGCACAACCACTGAGGCTGGTTTTAGGGCTGAGACTGAACAGCTCAGAAATAACACTGGAGTGGTATTTCTATCTTATTTCCAGATCTAGTTCATCATGAGTCCAAGGCAAGAAAAGTCAAACAAGCACTGCGAAACAATGCGATTTGGGAAAGTAATCTCCTTGACCATTTAATTGTCACTTAACTACAGTCTCAAAGGATGAGATGGGATGGTTTTGTCCTCAGGGGCATAGCCACTTTAATCCTTGGTTACAATCTTTCAGCTTTTCTTTTCAAGACTAGGATATTTGTTCTTTGACTCTGCAATAGCATATTCTTTCATCTGACTCCACACAGGTACATCCTTTCTTCTCGATTTCAGGTCAGGGAAGGTGCTAACTACACTCTGCACAATAGAAGTCACTGAATTGCTAGGTAAGCTGTTACAAAAATTAATGTATTCAAGTCTCTGCAAACCTCCTTCTTCCTTAATCCCCATTTCAGGGCTGGCAAATCTTCTTTTCCTTGGTGACTCTACCTCTCCCGTGCAATATGTGTCTTTAATTACATTTTGCTACACATAATCCAAGCCATCCAGGGTTGTATGTGCAACAACATAGAAAATCGTTTGGAAGCTGGGATGGCAGTGAGGCTGAAGGAAGGCTGTCAGGAATACAAAGAAATACAGTGTGTTGTTTCCTGCATTTTGAAAGATTCAAGGGTCATAGGTAAAAACAAAATAAAAAATCAGAAGTGTTTTAGGTTTCATTAATTTCCCATTGTTACATTGTAAAGAAAAAAAAATCAGCAAACAGCCGTTCAAATCTAAAATTTCTTAGACTCTTTAAATTATATTCACTGTCTTTCTAGGTTTATACAAATCACTTTTCTCCTGCTTTGATACTCAGACAGAAAGCTTTCTCTGAAAAAGAAATGCCTTTTCCTATGTGTCTGTACTGCATCCTTCACAAGGTTCACAGCAGCTGTGGAAAAAGAATCAGTTAGAAACTATTGCTTTAACAGGAAAAACACACTCCATAGCCTTTCATGCAGCAGTCATCCACGGGACTAATTTGAATATATGAGAAAACAAAAGGCTTCTGAGGGCTGCAGTCATAATCAAAGGAATTGCCTGGGTTGGATAGGGAATCAAAAGCAAGGACACACAGTACATGATGGAGCACTGCCCACACAGGCCAAGGATGATGTTTGAAAGTTGCTTTTACAGCTGCTGAGACGATGACAGACTGCTGTCCCAGGTGAGATAATGTTTCTTGAGTATCACTCGGGAACAAGCAGACACTGCATTTGCCTTGTCCTTCGGCTCATGCAGTATCTTCCGCCAATCAGGGCCAGGGTGCCTTGATTTTTTTCAGAGTGTATCTTGCTCTGTCTTGCCATAATTATGTAATTGCTTTACAGAGTCATAAATATCATCCCCTTTGTAGGCGTTGCAAATTGGACAGACAGGAAAAATCAATATATTCCTAATAACTGATCATTTTCAAAACTGTTACCAAAGTGCTTTTAAAACCAAAACCATGTTACAAGTATGTTAGCAGTACCAGGCATTTTTAGAGCTCCCTTGAGTCTTATATGCCATTAAAACATTTGATTGGAGGTGCCTCAAATATGGTCCTCCTGTTACACTGTCTGTTGCTGTATTTCTGCCCCTGTTAATTAAGCAAGAAATTTCCTTCTTCCCCCCACCCCCCGACTTTAGTAAATTAGACTGCTTGCTTTAGTCTGCTCCATATGGTCATTAGTTGAGTTATATTTCATATGCAGGATAAGAAGATGGGATTTATTGTAGATATCCCACAATTCCAGATGTGGTTGCATGGTCAGGGACTGAAAAAGTCAATTGTCTGCCCTGCCCCCACTCCATTTCTGTGTCAGATATTGCTTCTTAGTAGTCAAGTTACACACCAATGCCATCTGAGAGGGGGCACAGAAGAATACACACCATATATTCAAAATTAATAAAAATTCCAGTTTTTTCCTATAAATAGAATAAAAAACCTGTAAGATTATTCTCAGCTATGGGGAAGCAAATATAGCACAAGTGAACAATAAGCATGGATGGAAGGATTACAGATTCCTCAGTTCCAAACAAATTATCTTCATTAAGCAAGTCTTTCTTCTCTCTTCATCTCTCCTTTTTTCCTGCAATTATTTTACTCAACAATGAATACTCTGCTCAGTCTGCTATACACTAATGAAAAAGAGCAGCTGCATATCTGTTTCCACAGCAGTCAAAGGAAAAGGCAAAAAAATCTTTTGATTTCCCTTTTCCTTTTGCAATCATGCATTTCTGATACGAGCACTGGGGTTTAGACATTTAGCCCAGTGGATGTCAAGAATGCTGCAGTGATTAAATATTATCTTGTCACATCTGTTCAGAAGCAATACATAACTCTTAAAATATCTAGGTTGTTATAGCTTCTTAGCCACCTATCTATGATGGCAAGATATGGTATCTTAGGTCAGATTAAGACTCATGCTGAGAGAGAAAGTCAAGGAGCAATGTGGGAGTAGTTAATAGGTCTGAGAGGAAACCTCAAACCTTGTATTTGCAAATAAAATCTCCTTTAAAAAAAAAAATGAAATGGGGACAAATTCACGCTGAGAGGATTAAGCAAATAATGATCCTGTTATAAGAAGGAGAAGCCATGTCATAGTTTGCGGTACTCTGCAGAAAAATTAAGAGCAGGACATGTTTCTGATAAGAGACAACAGAGTGTGGGAGCTCTGGGTCAAGATCTTTCATATGGAAAGTTTCTCCAAAACTGTTCGGTGTTCTATGGAGTTTATTTTCTCTAAACTTTTCACTACACAGAATTTCCCTTTATGGTTGAGGTCTACTAACAAGACTATGCAAAACAAAATTATTATCTGACTCTGATGAATGTTGAAGAGCATTCTGATGGGTGTTGAAGAGCATAACTAATTATAAAATTTAATTTGCCAGAAATGGGAGCCAGAATTGTGTTCCCCATCACAACTAGTGTGCTAATGAGCTGTCTGTGTAGTCCAGGTTACCCTTCTGATCATGGTACTCTGTAAACGATGAACACAAATATTACAGAAACATCAACTTCTGGGTGTTTTCAAGCTTTGGGAGAGGTGTATTCTTTATTTTGTGCATGTTTCACTGCAGCATCCTTGAACAGGTGGAGGCAAATGTGCAGTTGTTGCAGTGAAGAAAAGTCCAGGTGTAACTGAGTGTCTTTGCTCTGTGTTTCCAGCCATCAGCATGGAAACATTTAGAAGAGGCAGAGTATGGCTGGGAGATTGTTGCCATGTTTCCTATGTCTTCTTCCAGGTGTACAGATTTACAGAGAAAAACTGGGTGGCTCCTTGTCCTCTACAATCCACATACCCACAGATCAGGTAAATCTGTGTTTGCCAATACTTTCCTGTAAATGGGCTTCTGGCATGAGATGCCAGCTACAAATTCATGTAGCATCCTTGCCTCAGTTTAGGCAACTGATCTTTGTTTATTTATCATTAATCCCAAGCTCCAAGTTACATTTTTATCTCATTTGTCAAAGCCTCTTGCAATCTTCCCTCGGTTTAGGTTACAACCCAACGTGTGTGAAGGTGGACACCTGTGCCTGTCAGGATCTGTATGGAGGGATGGCATGGCCTGGAGCCAAGGACTGTAAACTGTGGATTTTTATTTTGTTGTATAGCACGTTTTGGATTTTCAGGGTCCTGTCATAGAAAGGTATTAATTAACAGAGAAAACTACAGTAGAAAGTAGAGTAAGCACTTTGGAATGGTGAATGAAATTCAAGAGTTAAAGGAACCAGAATTTACCTATTTGGATTTTAGCCAGTAATTTGACTAAGAGTAACTCTGAATAAATACAACACTAAGAAATCTTTGCCAGTAATACATATTTAAGTAGTAGAAGCTGATTTGGAGCACAAATCCAGCTGATACAGCTGATTGTGGGTTTTTCTTCCATTTCTGTTGTGGGTTTTTTTCTTAGTTCGCTCTTTTATGATCTGTTCTTCCCCAGCTAACAATTTTAGAGACTGGGAGGTTTTAACATGATGAGAGCTCCTGGGAAATAAGCAATCAAATTGCTTATGCCATTTCTTTTGGGAATGCTTTTGTGTATTTCTTCTAATCCTAGTGTTTTGGTCACGTAAATAGAGATTACATGAAAGAACACAAAAGATGGTAAGCTACAGAATCTCCTCCCTCTTGTGAGCACAGATGGCAGTACCTTGGCTGGAAATCTTTCAGATGTAGGAGTCCAGGGGAGGGTAAAGGAGATTTCTTTTGAGTGATGTAGGCTGGGCTCCTTTTCCAGATTTCAGTCTGATCACTCAGGTGAACAGCAAAGAATTAACAGCACTGAAGGGACCAATCTGGCAGGAAGCTTTGGCAGCTGCCGTTCTGCACCGTGTGTGTTATGCAGCCCCTGTCACTGGTAGTCAGTTAAAGCATATTGGAAGCCAAAAATTCAAAGATGCACTTACAAGGGAAGTGTGTGAAATTACAGGGTGCAGGAAAACAGAACCTTATACCTGTTTGATGGTGTGGTGGCAGAGCTTCAGGAAGAGCACAGTGGTGACTCCACCAGCAGCAAAGCTCACAAGGCCTTCCTGTCACGTTGAAACTAAGGGCAGTTTTGCACATTAATTTGAATGAGAAGCAGGTGTTTTGTAGAAGAAACTTGTGCAGCAGCATGAAATATGCCACCAAACATGATATGCCAAAAGAAGTGACAGGATACTGATAGGAATTTCTTTTTTCCTCCTTCCAGCATAAATGCACCTCTTCTGAAGTTTCATCTTTGCAGTGTTTGATTTATGACATGAACTCATTTTCAGCAGAAATAATGAATTGAGTACATATTTTGTCAGAAGTAGAAACAGCTTACTCCTGAAGCTAAAGTGCCCTGGACCTCTCTGAAGGGAGAGGTGGGAGAGCAAGGGAGAGCTGCAGAGGAATGTGTCATGGGCACACTTCATCTTTTCTCCACACTTTCAGAGCCACCAAAGAAAGGGAAAGAACCACCAAACCATATGTGGGTGTCTAAAAACATACACATGCTATTGCTTCATAGAGAGCTGCAAGGAAGAGAAAGTCCTGAAACAGGAGGGAAAACAAGAACAGAGCAGCAAATAACCAGCAGTGAACGAGACAAGGTGGAGAAAGGCAATGGGCTATTGCTAGATTAACAAAGCTAAGGGTGATAATAAACACCTGTTTAATGGAGCAGGCATAAAAGAAGAACCAGAGAACAGCACTGAAAAACAAAGAATTTTATAATAGTGAGGTTAATGACCTGTTGTCTTTTATAAGTCACCCAGAAGAGGAAAATGATAAAGAGGTATGAGAGATTACGCATTAATGAGGACCTAGATAATAGGGAAGAAACAAGTTGACAAGTAATGGAATCATGCTGTGGAAACTTTAGGAAGACATTTTAGTTAAGTGATGGGAACAATAAAAGTGTGTTGAAATCTCCATAGGTGTTCAAATTTTAGCTACAAAATTTTCAGTAAAGCTAAAAAAATTGCTGCTATGCCAGGGTCCAGTTTAAGGGCTGATGGAGATAATAGTGTCCATAAACACACAGACACTGTTTTCTTGTCCTTTATGGGATTGGATTCAAATCTGAACAGGTCATGTGGGGTGCTTAGCTGTGCAAAGTGGAGACACTGGACTTTGTCAAAAAATCACTTCAGTGGGCAGTAAAATTTAAAGTACAGAAGTTGTTCTCTTATCTGCCATGTGATTCTGAAGTTGCTCCTAGTTAAGCACTTGCTTTGCTCAGCCTGGACTGTATCACTCTGCAGTTCTTAAGACTGACCCCTTCTGAATTTGGTGTTTCCATCTTTCCAAGCTCTGCAGTTGGAACGTAGTGGTACCCAATGCGCAGGAGCTGCCCTGTTTTGCAACATGCATTTCCCACAAGGGAAGGAGTGAACCAGATCCATAAATATGTTGTTACAACAGAGGAATTAAAATGAGTGTTATTTCTTTTGAAGAGGATTTATCCTCCCCTGTGTCCACAGTGGAAGCCATTAACTTCTGATCAAGGTAAAACACAGTAAAAGAAGTAGAAAGTGACTGGTAATAATTTCTTTTGGTAATAGTCTGCAAAACAGCTGCAGTTCTTGACACACATCATCAGTGAATTCCAAAACTGCAGTTTCTGTGGGCATAGGTTTATACTGTGTAAAAAAAAGAAATATGTTGATACTGGTTTAAGGTGTTTTCACACAAAGGGATTTCTGCACTGAAATTAGAAATGCACAAATGAAAGTGGGAATGATAAGACTGCTTTCTAACTTGATAAATACATGTAGAATTGATAGACAGATTTGTGATTGCTAATTAGAAAGGGGCCAATTCCTTAGTTAGGAAGACATTTCTATTTAAATTCATGTATTTCTGCATTAAAAGAGGATTAAAAAATTATTAACTTTTTAATGTTCCAGTTAGCAATCATATATACTAGCATCTCAATATTTAAATTTAAAATATTTTTATGTGCTGCCTGGAAAATTATTTGTATAAGTGCTTTTTCTTTTAGAAACTTTATTAAAAGTAAGACAGCCAGCAATTCTGCTGTTGGCAAGAGGCAAATCAAATCATCACCCTCACAGTCCTTCTAATCCAGTTATGTGTTTACAGGGAAGAAAGTGTATGTAGGCACCACCTGCCCCCAGCAGGATAAGGCTGCTAGAATTGGAGGGTGGTTTGTCTTTGGATTTTGGCTTTTCCTAAAGTGTGGATTTTCCTGTAATGCAGGAGGGTGCTTACGAAAACAGATTTCATCTTCCTAGAAGTCTCAGGTTAGTTTAAACTTAGCTTTATGTGAGATATGAACTCTCTAGGATCGGACAAGTGGATAAAAATTATGTAGTTCTTTTTACTTGAGCCTTTTTAAAAAATAATATAATAATTTCATTCTGTATGTGTTAAAAATGTTACAAAGAACTAACTCAATTCTTATCAGACTAAGAGAAGTGTGCTCATTTAAATCTGTAATATTTCAAATGAAAGATTGCTCTTCAAAAATCTGTTCGTCTAAGCAGTTACTCCTTCCTTCTCAACATGCCTTCTATTTTTCAGTCTCCTGATAAAATGATTGTATTATTTCTCTGTTGAAATACTAACTCATTTCATCTGACCCGTCTTCTTTTTTTTTGTCAGAAGTGCTGTCAAACACAATCTCAGAAATTACATTTCTTACTAGAGGGGGAAAAAATAAAGAGCTTTCACTGACATATGCTACCTGATCTGAAAGCAAAGTGTCACTAGACATTTTTAAAATAAAATATAAAGAGGATTTATGTATTTGACTCTTCTCAACACTGTTGTGGTTTAACACCAGATGGCAACTGAGCACCGGACAGCCACTTGCTCACTGTCCCACTGGTGGGATGGGGGAAAGAAATGTAAGAATAAAAGTGGGAAAACTCATGGATTGACATAAAGATAAATAGATAAAGCAAAAGCTGTGTGCACAAGCAAAGCAAAATAAGGCATTCAGTCACCACTTCCCATGGGCAAGCAGGTGTTCAGTCATCCCTGGAAGGCAGGGCCCCATCACATCCAGTGGTGACTTGGGAAAACAAAAGTCATCACTCCAAACATCGCCCCCTTCCTTCTTCCTCCAGCTTTATATACTGGAATGACACCATATGGGATGGAGCATCCCTTGGGTCAGCTGGGGTCAGCTGTCCTGGGTATGTCCCCTCCCAGCTCCTTGTGCACCCCAGCCCCTCACTGGTGGGGTGGTACAAGGAGGAGAAGAGGCCTTGACACTGTGCACATGCCACTCAGCAATAACTAAAGCATCCCTGCATGTGGTACTTCCATTCATGTTTTGGACAATCCCCACATCCAGGCATTGCTTCTGCCCTGATTCTATAATATTTGAGTCCTCCTTCTTTGTGATACATTCAGGATATTCAAATGTCATCGTTTCTGTAAAGAACACAAAATTTAAAGCAGTATTCCTAATACATAAAAAAGTACTGGGTGCTATACATCTAGCTTTCCATCTTCATCATGATAATAATTCTTATGAAGATAATTTTGGCAATCTAGGTTGGAAATCTTACAATTTCAGAAGGAGCCCTAAATGCAATGGAGCAGGGAATACAAAGGCATGACCTCTGAGGAGAGAAGCTAATAAGACAGTGTGTGTAAAATGTTCACTAGAGACTGTATTGATCATGAAAGATCATCTTAACTGTAGATGAAAGAATGCCAATACTAGTTAAATTCAAAGAATGATTGGGGTAATGCGTGTGCTTTTGTATATATATTGCATAAATATATAAATCAAGAGGTCTGGAAATTCTGCATTAGTGTGATAATAATTGCAGAGCAGGGGGAGCAAGCATTTCCAAAAGTACCTACCATAAAAATTGCAGAATTGTGATATTGTGCTGCTTCTGTGTGCTTTTTGTGCCTCTAGGGAAAGAGAAAAAGCAGGCCTGGGATAACAATGCAACAAAAATAAACTAAACCATCAGCAAAGTGAAGGTACAGGTCAAGATGAGGACACATGCTTGTGTTTACAAGTCTTGTGTAAGAGTGGTAGGGATGAATGTATAATACAAGGTCTGTCCTACTGCTGTCCTGCTAAAAGTCTAAGCCAGACCTGGTTATTGGTGCATTGGCCGGGAAACTCAAATTGGTGAGCC